CACAAGACAGAATTGCAAATTGCACAGGGATTTCACAAATACAACAGACACTTGGGTAACAGAATCCAAAATACTGTAGTAACCTAAGGACTTTGGGCCCTTTCACTGCCAAGTCCCTAAGGGGCTAGGCCTCCCCAGCGGGGAGAACCAAAAGTCACAGATTCATAGACTCTCAAGGCCCACCCTGAAGGTTCAAATCAGGGCGTGGGACCCGCCGCGGAAGACAGGGTTCTGGGCCTCTGGTAACCAGAGAAGTGGAAACTAGTCCATGGTACGTGGGGTCAGAGAACCACGTGGACCCAGGACTCAAGTGTCTTCCTGCCAGACAAGGCCCCTGGAAGATCGCAGGGCAGTGCATTCCGCAGAAAGGTCCCTGCTTCCAGAGGCCACGTTGTCGTCCACGGGAAAGTCCCCGCGCGTCCTGGTGCACCCAGCGCCGGCCATCGCGGTCCCGCCCGCGGCGCCAGAGCGTCCTGAGCCGCAGCGCCCACTGGCTGGAGACCCGCCCCGACCAAAGGGCCACGCACAGCCGCCTGCACAGCGCGGTTCCCCGCGGAGCCGTCGCCACGTCAGAGACAAGGTCCGAGTGAGCACCAGCTTCAGGTCCCACGTGAGCAGGCGCAGGAGGTTGAAGATGACGGAGGCTTCGTGGCACGAGGCGAGTTCTGGAAACCGGGAAGGGGGCTCAGAGGGGCCGAGGCAGCTATTTCCGCCGAGAACCCCGTCCGTCCGCCGTCCATCCATCCTCCGCTGCGGCCCCCGCTCCACCTCCAGGGCTCACCAGCGCCCACCCCCTGCCGCCCGCCCGCTCCACCGCCCGCTCCACTCACAGCTCTCTGCCTTCGGGGACGCCTCCTGGGTGGCCGCTGGGACTTCCTCCAGGGACCTGGCCGCACCAGCTGGAGCTGGAGGCCAACAGGAGGTAAACGAAGGGGGCGAAGGACCGAGTCTCCCACCAACCCGCCCGCGAGCCTCCCTGCCCCGGACCAAAGCCCGCATCTGCCTACGCCTAGAGGACTCCGATCGTGTCCCGACCGGTTTGGGGCTTAACAGGACTGCTCGCGGATCGGTGGCCTAGCTGTGGGGCCCGAGAGCGCAGAGCATCCTTGTGGGCGGTAGAGGGGCCGGGCGCGGGGGACACTCACGCAGGCCACCACGTCCTTCCTCGCGGCCGCCAGCAGCTGTAGGGTCGGGGCGACGCCGGGCAACAGCTCAGGGCTGGGCAGGCTGCTGAGCACGGCCTGGGCTTCCGAGAGGCCCCGGGCCACCAGGCGGAGCCGCGCGCAAGACTGCGGGCACGTGGTGGAATTAGACACGGCCGCGCCCCCGGCCCCTGCCTCCCCACGCCGACCCGCGGGCCTCACCGAGGGCCGTGGGGGATCCCTCCTTGGGCGTAAGGAGCAGTTCCGCGGCCTCCAGTCCAGTGTGTCCGCCTCCTGGGGGGCGAGGGAGCAGAGCAAGAGGGGGTGAGGATGGGCATAATGGCCTGGGCCCTGAAGCGCTGGGATGTTGGGGATACCTGGACGTAGACCGGGACTGGCCACTACGATTTGTGCGTCTCGTGCACTGAACTACAGCACTCTCTGAGGGCGAGGACGCGGACTGAAATGCACCCCTCGCGGAGCGCTGCGCCCCGACATGAGCCGACACCGCCTAGAGGAGGCGCCCTTCTGTGACTGGCAGGAAGGTGCTTTCTGAGCTTATGATGCCCATGGTCAGAATTCTAGACCCTGAGGTCGGAGAGGCGCCTGCTGGACGCTAGGATGCCAGGGCCCCTTGGGACAGGGACCAGGGTCCCCAACCCCTGGCAGGCACAGCGTCCCCTGAGAATGGGGGTCTGGGCATCACTCACGTAGTGGTCCCTCAGCGCCTTGACCGCCGCCAGCGCCCTGGGGTCCAGCCAGCGGTAGTGCGAGAGGAGGCAGCGCCTGGGTTCAGCCCCGCCGGGGTCCGCCACCACGCTCACCGTCACCAGGACCCACAGCCCCACGGACACCGCGGCTGCACCACGTGGCCTCATCTCTGCTCCTGCACGAAGCGAAGGACGTCAGGGAGGCGGAGGGGAAGACCTCGCGTCCAGTCCCTTCCCCTGGTTAGATTGGCAGAGGGACGATGTCAGAGTAGACACAGGGGAGAGAGGTGGTGGGTCCTGGGACCCCTGCTACCCTCAGCTTCTCTCCTCACTGCTCACCTGCAATGTGTCCTGGGTGCCTCGTGCAGGAGCCGGGCCTGCCTTCCACTGTCCCCTGCAAGGTGTCCAGAGTGGTATCCACCTTCCACAGTGGTGTCTGAACCCTCCATGGTGGCTTTTATGTGCCTCGCTGAGAAATGGTGAACAGCTGGGTTTCCCCATTCAGGTTAATTTTTGGAACATCATTGCTGGCTGCTGTCCCAGTGGGATGCTCCTGGGCATGAGGACTTTACCCGCCTGTTCCAAGCTGCCAGCGATGGCTCTGCCCCAACTCTCTGTCACCAGTTCTGGTCTCTGACCCTCTCTATATTCTTTCTTTTCATCAACCTCCTTGTCCTCTTCTCTGTTTAATAGGATAATGAGCCCTTATTAGGGTTTACTATTCTAAGAAATTGATACACATATCTCATTTAATTCTCTAAGGACACTACAAGGGTCGTCCTATGATTACTTCCATTTTATAGATGAGAAAACTGAGTCACAGTGACGTGAATGAACTTTTCCAGAGTCACAGTTAGTGTCAGAGGGAGAATTTGCACCTACATACTGTCCAGCTTCAAAGCTCCTTCAGTATGCTGTATTTGCCCCTAAATATCTGATTCAGTCGTCTTCTCTCTCTCTGTCTTCATTTGATTCCATTTCTCTTTCTTCCCTGTGTATATGCCTCCCACTCTGTCTCGTCTCTTGTTCCTCTTTCTGTCTCTAACTCCATTTGTCTCTCATTCCTCTTTCTATCAAATATTCAGTCCAGGGTCTCTCTGCCTCTCTCTGTTTTAGTTAAAAAAAGAAAATCTACTGTTTCTTCTTCTGATAAAATTAACAATGCAGGTTCATGACAACAGCTTGAAGAATAGAGAAGTGCGTAAAGGAGAAAAACACCCATCTATAACATTACCCACTTCTCTCTTCACCCCACATCTGGAACAACTTTCCCAACGTGTAGAAGTTTTACATATATTTATTGGTGCCAAAGTAACACATTCGTTGCAAAGATTCAGTCCATACAAAAGCATACAACTTGGAGAACTAAAGGAAGTCTTTAATCCCACTTCCTGGAGGTAATTCTTTTGAACAATTAGTCGCTATTACTCCTCTCATTTTTTTTCTTTTTCTTTTTATAAGCTCTTTGTCCCAAAATGGAACCAGGCTGTATAGAGTGTGGTAGCCTGCTTTTTATGTCTTCGCGTTATCTCTCATTTGCATTTCCCCAGATCTTTAATTAAACTGCATCACTTAGGGCCCAAGTAGGAAACTGATGGCCCAATCTATTTAGGATAATTTGAGGTGGGTTTAATACCAGGATTATTTACAAAGGGACTGGACAGTGAAGGGAAAAGACAGGGAGTAGTGCAAAGCCTTGGGGCCTTCTTGGGGGAGGGTCTGCCACCCCTAGGCCTGAAAGAAGGGGAGAGGGGAGGGAGTGGTGATCTGACCTGGGAAAGAGAGAGTCCTGTGCACAGGTCAAGGGAACAGATAAGTTGTGGTTGCCTTGAAGGGAGGAAGCCTGGTGGATAATTACTGTGACCTCTGAAAAGAAAGAGTCTCCTTCCCCTCTTGTAGCTTGTCTCATCTAGAGCTTGTTCATATTTTGTTAGAGTTGTATCTAGGTATTTCACCTCGGGGGTGCTAATGTAAATAGTGTTTCTAATTCCAAATTCAAATTGTTCATTGCTCTTATATAAGCAAGCACCGGCTTTTGTACATGAACCTTGTACCCTACAACTTTGCTATGATCACTTATTGGTTCAGAAATGTTTAAAAATGAATAATATTAAATATACAGGACTGTGAAGAAAACTGTGTTGCAACACAGTTACCAAAACATAAAAACAATGTTGTGATAGGTAATAGACACACCTCTTTATATAATACATTAAGTAATAAGATACAGTGATAGATTTAATAACTACCCCAATCGGGCTGGAAACAAACTTCAACCGAGGTACGTGCCCTTAGCGGGAACCGAACCCGGGACTCTCTGGTCCATGGGCTGACGCTCTAACTGCTGAGCCAAGCTGGCCAGGGCAGGATAAATATAATTTAACAGCAGAGTATGGAAGCCAGAGAGAGTATGTCAAAGACCCAGATGAGGAAACACCAGAGACAACAGGAGGGGGGTATTCATGCAGAGAAAGGTAGAACACAGGGAGAGACAGACAGAAGTGTAAAGAAACAGACAGCCCTGGAACCCCCAGTATGAACTCCCAGGCAACCCTCGTCGGGGCACCTCTGCCAAGTCTGTACCTTCCAAGAGAAGGAAATGGTGTGTTTTTCAGTTCATTCCTAGAGTGCAAAAGAAAAACCAACACAGGCAGAAAAGACAGATGTCCAGAAAAGAGAAACAAGAAGTTGGCTAAGGACACAGTTGGGGCAGAGCCATCGCTGGCAGCTTGGGACAGGCGGGTAAAGTCCTCATGCCCAGGTCAGCACCCCACTGGGCTGGGGGCCAGCAATGATGTTCCGAAAATTTAACCTGAATGGGGAAGCCCAGCTGTTCACCATTTCTCAGCGAGGCACATAAAAACCACCATGGAGGGTTCAGACACCACTGTGGAAGGTGGATACCACTCTGGACACCTTGCAGGGGACAGTGGAAGGCAGGCCCGGCTCCTGCACGAGGCACCCAGGACACATTGCAGGTGAGCAGTGAGGAGAGAGGCCCAGGGTAGCAGGGGTCCCAGGACCCACCACCTCTCTCCCCTGTGGCTACTCTGACATCGTCCCTCTGCCAATCTAACCAGGGGAAGGGACTGGACGCGAGGTCTTCCCCTCCGCCTCCCTGACATCCCTGCTTCTTGCAGGAGCAGAGATGAGGCCACGTGGTGCAGCCGCGGTGTCCGTGGGGCTGTGGGTCTTGGTGACGGTGAGCGTGGTGGCGGACCCCGGCGGGGCTGAACCCAGGCGCTGCCTCCTCTCGCACTACCGCTGGCTGGACCCCAGGGCGCTGGCGGCGGTCAAGGCGCTGAGGGACCACTACGTGAGTGATGCCCAGACCCCCATTCTCAGGGGACGCTGTGCCAGCCAGGGGTCGGGGACCCTGGTCCCTGTCCCAAGGGGCCCTGGCATCCTAGCGTCCAGCAGGCGCCTCTCCGACCTCAGGGTCTAGAATTCTGACCATGGGCATCATAAGCTCAGAAAGCACCTTCCTGCCAGTCACAGAAGGGCGCCTCCTCTAGGCGGTGTCGGCTCATGTCGGGGTGCAGCGCTCCGCGAGGGGTGCATTTCAGTCCGCGTCCTCGTCCTCAGAGAGCGCTGTAGTTCAGTGCACGAGACGCACAAATCGTAGTGGCCAGTCCCGGTCCACGTCCAGGTATCCCCAACATCCCAGCGCTTCAGGGCCCAGGCCTTTATGCCCATCCTCACCCCCTCTTGCTCTGCTCCCTCGCCCCCCAGGAGGCGGACACACTGGACTGGAGGCCGCGGAACTGCTCCTTACGCCCAAGGAGGGATCCCCCACGGCCCTCGGTGAGGCCCGCGGGTCGGCGTGGGGAGGCAGGGGCCGGGGGCGCGGCCGTGTCTAATTCCACCACGTGCCCGCAGTCTTGCGCGCGGCTCCGCCTGGTGGCCCGGGGCCTCTCGGAAGCCCAGGCCGTGCTCAGCAGCCTGCCCAGCCCTGAGCTGTTGCCCGGCGTCGCCCCGACCCTAAAGCTGCTGGCGGCCGCGAGGAAGGACGTGGTGGCCTGCGTGAGTGTCCCCCGCGCCCGGCCCCTCTACCGCCCACAAGGATGCTCTGCGCTCTCGGGCCCCACAGCTAGGCCACCGATCCGCGAGCAGTCCTGTTAAGCCCCAAACCGGTCGGGACACGATCGGAGTCCTCTAGGCGTAGGCAGATGCGGGCTTTGGTCCGGGGCAGGGAGGCTCGCGGGCGGGGTTGGTGGGAGACTCGGTCCTTCGCCCCCTTCGTTTACCTCCTGTTGGCCTCCAGCTCCAGCTGGTGCGGCCAGGTCCCTGGAGGAAGTCCCAGCGGCCACCCAGGAGGCGTCCCCGAAGGCAGAGAGCTGTGAGTGGAGCGGGCGGTGGGGCGGGCGGGCGGCAGGGGGTGGGCGCTGGGGAGCCCTGGGAGGGGGAGCGGGGCCGCAGCGGAGGATGGATGGACGGCGGACGGACGGGGTTCTCGGGCGGAAATAGCTGCCTCGGCCCCTCTGAGCCCCCTTCCCGGTTCCAGAACTCGCCTCGGTGCCACGAAGCCTCCGTCATCTTCAACCTCCTGCGCCTGCTCACGTGGGACCTGAAGCTGGTGGCTCACTCGGGACCTTGTCTCTGACGTGGCGACGGCTCCGCGGGGAACCGCGCTGTGCAGGCGGCTGTGCGTGGCCCTTTGGTCGGGGCGGGTCTCCAGCCAGTGGGCGCTGCGGCTCAGGACGCTCTGGCGCCGCGGGCGGGACCGCGATGGCCGGCGCTGGGTGCACCAAGACGCGCGGGCACTTTCCCGTGGACGACAACGTGTCCTCTGGAAGCAGGGACCTTTCTGCGGAATGCACTGCCCTGCGATCTTCCAGGGGCCTTGTCTGGCAGGGAGCCCCTTGAGTCCTGGGTCCACGTGGTTCTCTGACCCCACGTACCATGGACCAGTTTCCACTTCTCTGGTTACCAGAGGCCCAGAACCCTGTCTTCCGCGGCGGGTCCCACGCCCTGATTTGAACCTTCAGGGTGGGCCTTGAGATTCTATGAATCTGTGACTCTTGGTTCTCCCCGCTGAGGGGGCCTCAGCCCCTTAGGGATTTGGCAGTGAAAGGGCCCAAAGGTTACTACAGTATTTTGGATTCTGTTACCCAAGTGTCTGTTGTATTTGTCAAATCCCTGTGCAATTTGCAATTCTGTTTTGTGATGTTAACTTATTGCCTTTATTAAATATTCTTGCATTTACCGTGGTTGTTCTTTTGTGATCCTATTGAGGGGCATTTTTCAGTTCAAAATGTTGAGCCTTGCCCATCTGATGTGGTTCAGTGGTTGAGTATCGACCCATGCACCAAGAGGTTGCAGGTTCGCGTTCCAGTCAGAGCACATGCCAAGTTGTGGGCGGGATCTCCAGTGGGGGCGGGGGGAGATACAGGAGGCGGCCAATTGATGTTCTCTCTCATCGATGTTTCTAAAATCAATAAAGAAAAAAATGAAATAAATAAAATATTGAGCCAGGAAATCAGGTGACTTGAGTTTCAATTCTGACCCTGCCACTTAATTATGGTGTAATTGGGCAATATAATTCTCTGAGCTTCAGTTTCCTCGTCTGCATTATAATCCTTCCCTTAAATGAGTACTGTACTGTACATTGAAATAGTGTTTATAAAGCTTCCAGCTGAAGCCATAGGACAGTCTTAATGATTTCTTAAACAACCACAAAAATAAACACACAAACAATTGCACTTTTTTGTTTGTCCAAGTCAGTGGGCTGGCGATCTTTGTTGCCAACTTTTGCCAGAGTCACACAGCTAGTGAAGGTCAGAGCCAGGGTTCGGTCCCAGACCCTTTGGATCCATAGCCCATGCTCTTAACCACCTCACTGCACTTCCTTTCTAAGAAAACCAAGAATGACGTTTAGAAACTTTGAGATCCTGTGTCCATTTTCAGAATTCACTGTAGATGCAGTGTCTCCTCCCTGAGCTAAGATCCTGCAAGGGGCAGAAACTACCAGTGCCCTGGAAGGTGACTTGCACACATTCTTGCTCTTGCCTTTGAAACATTTTTGTGTGTCAGAGCTCAGTGTTCCCAACTGAGGATTTGTCCACTCTCTCCCTGGAATTATGAATAATGGGAAAAGGGTGTTGAGGTGGGAGTCAAGTGTCAAAAAGCACTTGGTATCTTCTGTCCTACAAATTTATTATCTCTGAGTCCAGGAGATCCAGCTACACAGAAGCTGGATAGTACATTGGTTACTGTCTGGGTGTCAGTCAAAACTTGGTTAAAATCCTGCCCTCACTGCTTATTTGCTGTGTGACCTTAGGCAGATCTCTTAAAATCTCTGAGTCCCTGTATTTCACTTCATATTTATTTATTTATTAAATACTTTAAGAGACTGGAATTTTAAAATATATTATTTATCAATTTGAGAGAGAGATGGAGAGAGAGAGAGAGAGAGAGAGAGAGATATGAATTTGTAGCTCTACCCATCCAAGTATTTTTTGGTTCAAACCTACAACCTTGATATATGGAAATGATGTTCTAACTAACTGAGCAACACTACCAAGGTATGAGAATTGATTTTTTGTTTGTTTGTTTGGCACATTGCAATCAAGAGAAGCTATTTATTTATTTATAATTTTTTATTAATTTATTTTTGTTACAGATGTTTCTTTTTTCCCCCTCATTGACACCTTCCTCCAGATCCCCACCCCCTCACCCCATACCCAGCATTGTTGTCAATGTCCATTGGTTATGCATACATGCATGTAAGTTCTGTGGTTTATCTCTCCCCCTGCCCCGTCTGAGGTCTGTCAGTCTGCACCCTACTTTATGTCTCTGGGTCTGTTTTGTTCATCAGTTTGTTTTGTTTAGTATGTTCCACAAATAAGAGAGATCATGTGATACTTGTCTTTCTCTGATTGACTTGTTTCGCTTAGCATAATACTCAAAACAAGCCATAACATGAAACTTCGGGCCAGTTCTACCAATGTTACTCAATACTTAAAATATAGGCAAAGTGCAGTGGACTCCATGATATTGAGGATCTGAAGGCTGCCCGCTCAGATCCTCCCAGAGCTCCCCCCCCCCACTCCCACGTGATGATGCTGGTTAGGTCTTTGCTCCCACGTGAGGATCAGCGTGGATCCCATCTGCACTCTGATGTCACCTCACTTAGGTTCTTTCATTTTCCATCACCTCATTGGTTCTTTCATTTTCCATTTCCTCCTGTCAATACACCACCTGCTCACCCCGCACTCCTGCTCTGCTTTACTCCTCCCTAGGAGACAGCTCCACCAAGTGTATTTTGTGGGACTTTTTCTCCAGGGCTCTGCTCCTGGCACCTTGAGCAGGGCTTGACACCCAGTGGGAGCTGAGGAATACTTGGTGAGTCAGTGAAGGTGTTTCTCTCACACTGAGCAGGATCCCTAGAAGTCCTTGGCCACACCTCAATTTCCTAGCAGATCCTCCTTTTCCTGGGTCCCTCTGTGTCTGGACAAGTAAAGATGGTAGTTAAGCCCTGTCCCTGTGGCTCAGTGGTTGAGGGTTGACCCATGAACCAAGAGGTCACCAGTCAGATTCCTGGTCAGGGCAGGTGCCCAGGTTGCCAGCTGGATACCCAGTGGGGGTCTTGCAGGAGGCGGCCAATTAATATGTCTCTCTCATCCATGTTTCTAGCTCTCTCTCCCTCACCCTCTAAAAAGAAAAAGAAAAATCAATAAAACATATTTTTAAAAAAGTAAATAAAGCCCTGGCCGGTTTGGCTCAGCGGTAAGAGCGTCGGCCTGCGGTCCTGAGAGACCCGGGTTCGGTTCCCGCTAAGGGCATGTACCTCGGTTGCAGTTTGTCCCCGGCCCTGGTTGGGTTGTGTGGGTGGCAGCCACTCGATGTTTCTCTTTCACATCGATGTTTCTCTCTCTCTCTCATTTCCTCTCTCTCCCTCCCACTCTACCTGAACAAAAAAAGGAAAAATGTCCTCGGGTGAGGATTAAAAAAAAAAAAAAAAGTAAATAAAGATGTTAGTCAAGCTCCCCTCCCCCTTCTTCCTCTCTCAGTACTGGGAGAGGGGGGGCTGGTCTGCTCCCTTAATTCTGGGCTGCTTTGCCTTTCTGACTCTCCTACCCCCAGCAGCCTTCTCCCTTCCCCTTCTCCCCTCCCCTCACAGCCTCCCGCTTGCAAGTTCCAGGTTCTCTTTGGCAACACCCCTAGAGGTTCCTTGCTGCCCCTCCCCCTGCACTGGGGTATCCTCTAAGGGGGGGTCTCTCTGTCTCCTCCCTGCCACTCCTCTCAGGACCTCCTGCAGGCAACCTGAGTGTGTGTCACTTTCTCTTTCCCTTCAGCAGCTCACTGGCTCCAGGCCCCGCCCTGCAGGTCTTCCCCAGCCTGGGGCCTCCCCTAGTGGCAGGTGCATTTCCACTTCTCCTACATCAGCTGGGATTGCCCGGCTGTCCAGGCTAAAAGCTGCGCCATGGAGCTCAGGCAGGACTTCCAACGCACCACAGCTGCAAGTTCAGACCCAGACAGAGGAGCAGGCTGAGACCCAGGAGAAGAGACTGAAGTCACAGGCACCAAACAAGGCTGAGTGAGACCCAGGTGACAGCTTCTGAGTGGACACTTGGATCCCCATCTGCTGACAGAGACCAGAGACCAGGATGAAGCTGGGTGAGTCCCCACATCCTCGTCCATGACCCTCACCTCCCCACAGCCTCTGCCCTCAGCCCCTGACACTGTCCCCCAATCTGTCTGTCCTTCCATGACACAGACTCAACCTTGGGCTGCACACTGGTGCTGCTGCTGCTGCTGACCACGGTGCTGAGCAGGACAGGAGCAGTTCCTGTCCCCACAGCCCCCAGGACCGCTCTGGGAACAAGGGGCTGCCACATGGCCCAGTTCAAGTCTCTGTCCCCACAAGAGATGAAGGCCTTCAAGAGGGCCAAGGATGCCTTGGTGAGTCTTCCCACTGCCCCGCCTCCTGGGGGCCACCTGCACCCTCCCTCTGTGGGTCACCATGCTCCACGTGGCTCACGGTGGGCCTGTGCCCTTCCTCCCTGGGCCCACCTCCACCCTTGCCCCAGGGGGCTGGTCTGTTCTCTGCCCTGCAGGTGCCCTTAGCATCCTTGGGGAAGGTCAGCCCACCCTGTTGTTAGCATCCCCCTCCCACTGCAGGGGCTCACCTCAGCCCTGCAGCTGAGGCTGACCCCTGCCCTTGCTCCCCAGGAGGAGTGGCTGCTGCTGAAGAACTGCAGCTGTGGCTCCCGCCCCTTCCCCAGGACCCGGGACCTGAGGCAGCTGCAGGTGAGTGGGGAGTCAGGCCCAGCCCTGCCCTCACCTGGCCCCATCCTCTGGCTCCTTCCCTGTGTCTCCAGCTTCCTTTCACTGTCCTGTCTCTGTCCTCCCCAGCAGTCCTGACCTCTTCCCCTCCCCTGCCCACATGGGCCTTCCCTCTCCCCTCTGCCCTGCCCTTTACCTGCAAGGGCCTTCCCAGTCCCCCTGGCCTGTCCCCTCACAGGCAGCGCTCACCTGTCTGTGTCTCCTCCGCAGGTGTGGGAGCGCCCTGTGGCCTTGGAGGCTGAGCTGGCCCTGACCCTGAAGGTCCTGGGGACCGTGGCTGACTCGACCCTGGGGGACGTGCTGGACCAACCCCTGCACACGCTGCGCCACATCCGCGCTGAGCTGCAGGCCTGTGTGAGTGCGCTGGGCCCCCGCGTGTGTCTGGGCTCTGGCCCCCGCGTGTGCGCTCTGTCCCAGGCCCTGCTCACACAGCACCCCTCTGCCCACAGGTCCCAGCCCAGGCCCCAGCAGGCCCCAGGCCCCGGGGGCCCCTCCGCTCTTGGGTGCACCGCCTGCAGGAGGCCCAGAAGAAGGTGAGTGAGCAGGGAGTGAGCAGGGTCCCGGGACCACTGGGAGCCCAGATGATAGACAGCCGCTGACCCGCCCCTTCTCCCCCAGGAATCCCAGGGCTGCCTGGAAGCCTCTGTCACATTCAACCTCTTCCGCCTCCTCACCCGGGACCTGCAATGTGTCGCCAATGGAGACCTGTGTGTCTGACCCTGAGACCCACCTGCAGCCTGTCCCAGCAGCTTCGATGTTATTGATGCGTCCCCCCTTCCCTTAATTTATTGCCACCCAACCACTATTTATGTATTTATCTGAATGAATTGTCAAACTCACACCAAGAAAATATTTATTTTTTTACTTTTTTGTAAAAATTGTTCAAATAAATGATCAGAAAGAGATGTTTTCTGTATTGAGAGACTGTGTGTCTGTTTGGTGGATTGGTTTTCTCTCGCTGCCTTAACAAGGTATCCCCAAGACAGCATTTTAAAGCCACATGCGTCCAGTCTCTCAGTTCTATGGGTCAGGTCTCCGGGTGCGCTCAGCCTCTGTCTCTGCTAGGGTTGTCACAGGGCTGCATCCCAGGGTGGCCGCTCGGATTCTTCCAGCGAGGGCTTGGGAGGGAAGAATGTACCTGTAAGCTCTGCCACTGTGGGCAGAATTCTATACCCTGCCGTTGTAACACTGAGGTTCCTGTTTGCTGCTGGCAGTGAGGGTCCATTGTTAGTTCCTCCAGCCTTTCTCTGGCCCTTGCACACGGAACCTCCATCTCAGAATCAACAGCCGTGGGTCAAATCCTCTTGTGCCTGGAATCCCTCTGACTTCTCCTTTGGCCACATTTCTCTTCTGCCGCCAGCTGGAGAAAGCTCTCTGCTTTTAAGGACTCATGAGTTTAGATTGGGCTCACCGGGATAATTTAGGACAATCTCTCTATTTTTGTTTTAATAATTTTTTTCTTTATTGATTTTTAGAGAGAGAGGAAGAGAGAGAGAGAGAGAGATGATGATGAGAAAGAACATCAGTTGGCCTCCTCCTGCATGCCCCTTACTGAGGATTGGGCCCACAACCTGGGCATGTGCCCTGAATGGGAATCGAACTGGCGACGTCTTGGTGCATGGGTTGACACCCAACCACCGAGCCACACCGGCCGGGCCAATATCTCTATTTTAACATCTCTAAAGCTTAGTTACAGCTGCAAAGTCCTTTTGCCGTGTCACATAAGATATTCACAGGCTCCAGGGATGGGTTGGGTATCTTGGGGCCATTATTCTGCCCAGCACAGTACGTGTGAGATTGTGTACATGTGTGGTTTCTTCGAGAGTCTGTGAGAATGAGTCACAGTAACATTAATATTGTACACATTGAAAAGCCCAGACAGCAAGGTCCATTTAAAGCCATGTTGCATAACATGCTCTACAGGCCACACTTGAAATAGACTTGAGCACTTGGAATGTAGCTGGTGCAAATTGAGCTATGCTCTACAGATAAAAGATACCCTAGAATTTGAACAAAATTTATTAAAAACATTTTTTTCAGATGGTGCCTGCCCTGTTTCTCCACTGTAAAATGATTATTTTTTTATTTTAATTTTTTCTTTATTGACTTTAGAGAGAAGAAGTGAGAGGGAGAGAGAAATAGAAACATCAATGAGAGAGAACATCGATTGGGAGCCTCCTGCATGCCCCCCACTGGGGATTGGGCCCACAACCTGGGCATGTGCCCTGACTGGGAATGAACCAGCGATCTCTTGGTGCATTGGCTGATGCTCAACCACTGAGCCACAGCAGCTGGACCTGTATTTCTCTATTTATAAGAAATATGTAGAGAGACTTTGAGACTATGCAAATGCCTATTTCATCTCAAACTTTGACCCATTCATTTGGCATCCATTGGTGACTGTTCATCTGATGTCAGTCATCAGACAATGTCATCATTCCTTTTACATTTATTCACTGGCATTGTACCCTTAGGGAGAGGTTTGCCCCTCCCTCCTCATTTATGTATTTACCAATTGATTTATAACAGCATGGACTACTGAATTTCTGTTTTATTCAGGAGATTACAATTCTTTGCTATAATTTCTGTTGATGCTCAAATTGTCCCAGATTCAGCCAATGGGAACCCTTTCAAGATGGCTCCTATGCCGTTTGGATGTATCCCTGTCATGCTCTGAGTACCTCCTTGCTCTCTGGAATAAGGTGTTCCAGGCTCATCGTGTCCCTTCCCTCCCTCAGCTCTAACCAGCCATTTCTCTGAGGCGCTCTGGTTCCTTTTAGTAGAGATGAGTATTAAAAACATGATCTGGGTGTGAGGTGGGCTGATTGCTACAGGATGTTGTTGTTTCTACACCCTCTCAGTGGACAAAGCTATAAAATAGATCGATGGATGGTTGTACCGAATTTTTATTCACTGTAAAAAAGCAAAATCTCACCAATAATTTTTTACATTGATTATCTGTTGAAATGGTAATATTTTGGATATACTGGGCCAAATAAAGTTATGTAAAAATAATTTCACATATTTCTTTTTACTTGTTAAATGTGGCTACTAAAACATTCAAAATGACCTATGTGGCTCACATAATGTTTGGATTTGAACAGTGCTGACTTAGAGGGCATGATGTCACAGCAGATCCAGGTTCTTTACATCTGGCTGATCCCCCATCTTCAGTGTATTAGTACTGTCTCTCCTCGTGATCATAATATGGCTACCACAGCTCCAGCCATCACCTAATCATATAAATGTCCACAAAGCAGGAGTGGCAGACTCCAGCTAGCTGTCTCTGTATTTATTCTCCTCTTCTTCCTTTACTTGGAGAACCCCTGACTTGTAAGTGGATTCAGGGGTGCTCCACTAAAAACAACATTTTCCAACCATCCCTGCATCTGTGGCACTAAATTCTGGCCAATGCATTCGAGTGAAAGTGATCTGAGCCCCTTATGAGCTGTCCCTTTAAGGACATGGCAGCCCAGCCAGTGTGGCTCAGTGGTTGAGCATCGACCCGTGCAACAAGAGGTCATCAGTTCAATTCCGGGTCAGGACACATGTCCAGGTTGTGGGCCCAATCCCCAGTGGAGGGCATGCAGGAGGCAGCCAATCGATGTTCTCTCTCATCAATGTTTCGTTGTCTCTCTTTTTCTCTCCCTTCCTCTCTCTCTAAAATCAATAAAGAAAAGAAATTTTTTAAAAAATGAAAGGCCATGGCAATGCTCTCCTCGTCACTGAATGACAGAAGAATGAGAGCAGCCAGCTTACTATGCCTTCAGCTTTCCAGGACATTTTCAATGGACACAGAATCTTGTGTTGGCAGCTTTCTTTTTTCTTTCAGTACACTGAATTAGGTCCTCTCCCTCTGGGGTTCCCTCCAGGTTGGGCTTCCTCCTCTCAATGTCCAAGCCCTCTGACAGCCCCAAACTCCGCTATCTGATACCCCGTGTCAATGACTGGTTTTTCTGCTGGAGTGCAAGCTGTCCCTTGCCATGTGGATGGAAGTCTGTCCCTGGAGGAAAAGCCATGTAAACTTAGTCTCATACCACGTTCTGTTCTTTCAAAGGTGCAATTCCCTCCAGTTTCTGCCTGCTCCTGGGTGCTCTCCAGTGCCTTCAAATAGAGGGGTTTTCAAAAACGGTTTCGGACTTCCGGTCAAGATGGCGGCGCAGGTAAACGTGGTATCGTCCTTCCACAACCACATCAAAGTTACAACTAAACTACAGAACAATCATCATTCAAAACTGCCTGACATCGAGCTGAATGGAAGTCCTATAACTCCGGAATTAAAGCAGCAGCCACATCCAGACTGGTAGGAGGGGCGGAGGCGGACAGGCTGGTCCCACACCCACGTGTGGCAGATAAAAATCAGGAGGACACCTCGGCTGGGAAGGTCCTCCCTGAGGACTGAGGGGTCCCCGTCCCACACCAGGTGCCCCACTCAGGGTTCCAGTGCCAGGAAGAGAATCCCCATCACTTCTGGCTGGAAAAACCAGCGGGAACTGAGGCTCAGGGAAGCTGAGGCTTCTGGAGCCCCAGGCAGCTCCTTAAAGGGCCCGCGCATGAACTTATCGGACTCACTCCCTCTAAGCTTGGAGGGGAGGCAGCTCCAGGGGCGCCAGAGACACACAGGGAAGAACTGAGCTGCTTGGCACTGGAGAGAGGGCTGGAAAGGGGGCTTTATCTGGGACAGATGTGCTGTCAGAGGCCTTTGTTCCTTTGGGGAGCCCTTTCCTGGGGGGGGGCAGACAGCCACCATATCTGGGACTCCAGCTCCTGACTGATTGCCCCGCCCTGGTGATTCCCTAAGGCCCTGCCCCACCCAACTTTCAGGCCCACCCAAGCTGTTGCCAGTTGCTTCACCATAGGATTGGCCTGTCTTGGATCCTGCTTCAGGTTTTCCTAAATTCTTTCAAACGAGCAGCATCTGGTCTCAGCGAGCCCCATACCTCTTGTTAAGTAATACACTGAAACAAACACAGGGAGGCAGCCAAAATGAGGAGACAAAGAAACAGGTCCCAAAGGAAAGAACAGAAAAAATTTCCAGGAAGAGAACTAAGCGAAATCGAGATAAGCAACCTAACAGATGCTGAGTGCAAAATACTATTTATAAGGATGCTCAATGAACTTAGTGAGAACCTCAGAAAACTTAGTGAGGGCCTCAAGAGCATAAAAAAGGAGCAGTCAGAAATGAAGGAGGCACTAACTGAAATAAAGAATAATTTACACAGATTCAATAGTAGAGTAGGTAAAGCCAAGAAGCAAACCATTGATTTGGAATACAAGGAAGCAAAAAACACCCAATCAGAACAGCAAAAAGAAAGAATCTAAAAAAAGGATGATAGTGTAAGGAGCCTCTGGGACAACTTTAAGCATGCCAACATTCACATCTTGGGGGTACCAGAAGGAGAAGAGAGAGAACAAGAAATCGAAAACCTCTTTGAAACAATAATGGCAGAAAACTTTCCTAACTTGGTGAAGAAAACAGACATACAAGTCCAGGAAGCACAGAGAGTCCCAAACAAGATGAACCCCAAGAGGCCCACACCATCATCATCATCATCAAAATGCAAAAAGTTCAAGACAAAGAGAAAATCTTAAAAGCAGCAAGAGAAAAGCAGTTAGTTACCTACAAGGGAGTTCCCATAAGACTGTCAGCTGATTTCTCAAAAGAAACTTTGCAGGCCAGGAGGAAGTGGCCAGAAATATTCAGAGTGATGAAAAGAAAGAACCTACAACCAAGATTACTCTATCCTACAAAGCTGTCATTTAGAATCGATGGCCATATAAAGACTTTCCCAGACAAGAAAAAGTTAAAGGAGTTCATCACCACCAAACCATTATTATATGAAATGTTGAAGGGTCCTTTTGAAGAAAAAGATAAAATATATGAACAAACAAAATGACAATGAATACATATCTATTGACAATGGAATCTACAAACAAAATGAACAGGCAGAACAGAAACATTCTCATAGATACAGAGAACATTTTGTTGGTTGCCAGATGGGAGGGGGATTGGGGAAATGGGTGAAAAAGGTGAAGGGATTAAAAAGAACAAATTGGTTGCTAGACTAACAAATCTCAAAGAGAAGGGGGTTGGGGGGGCTGGGAAGAAATAAACCAAAGAACTTATATGCATAACCAATGGACACAGACAACAGTGTGGGAAAAGGTGGAAGGGGGGCGGGAGGGGGGAGGAGGGGGGTCAATGGGGGAAAAATGAGGAACATCTGTAATACATTCAACAATAAAGATGAAAAAAATAGGAAAATAAACACACGTTTTTCCCAGAGTTGGTAACCATTATCCATGGGGAGGTTAGGCAGCACGCTCTCGCCTGTCTCTGTCTTACCTTGTTCTGTCTCCTGTTCACCCTCAGTGAGTGATTCTCACTAGGGGTCTCTCCTGGGGTTGCAGTCAGATGTCAGCTGGGACTTGACTGAGCTGAAGGTTTGACTGGGCTGGGTGTCAGTGATGGCTCACTCCCATGGCTGCCTATCGGCAGGAGCCCAGCGGTGGTGCTGACCTGGGCACTATGAGTGGCTTCTCCCTGTGATTTGAACTTTTCACAGCACTGCAGTCTTTGAGTAGTTGAACTTCTTACAGGGGGGCTGGCTGCCCGCGGAGCAGTTTAAGGGATTGGAAGTGAAATCGGAAGGCTGGTTAAGGGCTGCACCCAGCACGGACACCGTGTTCCATTGGTCCAAGCAGTCTCAGCCTTGCCCAGATTCGAGGGGATGGTGAAAATAAGACTTACTCTTGATGGTGGAGTGGCAGTGTCGCATTGCAGCAGAGCATGTGGGAAGGAAGTACTGCTGTGGATCATCACTGGGAAAGACAATTTGGTCGCAGTAGACACAGCCATTTCCCTCCACGTAATACTCAGCACTGTAAGTGTGCGTGGTGCTGGTGCCCAGAGGAGTCCCCAATCCTGATACCTCCAAAGGCTTGGCTGAACTTCAGGGACAGGGCTTCCATGGGTGTCATTCTCCGTGGTTCTGAATCTTCTGCTACAGCATGATTACTCCCTGCCCAAAGACATGCAGGAGGGCAGTCCAACACCACCAACACTGGGGCTCAAGCATGCGCGCGCGCGCGCGCACACACACACACACACACACACACACACACACACACACAGAAGCTGTCATTCCTGCAGTGGCTACTCTATGACAACCTGTTGCACTAGCCCAATCCTGAAGGTGATGACTGGTGCTTCTTCCCTGGAGTAGTTACCCAGACCATGTGTCTCTTCTTCTTTCCTTCTCTCTCTATCCCTGTTTCTGTTTCTTTCTCATTGGTGCCTCTCCCTGTCTCCTTGAGGCTCTCTGTCCCATCTTGCTTCCCTGTCTCTATCTCTCTGTCCCTCTCTGTCTTTCTCTCCCTGGGTCTCTGTCCCTGGCTGGCTCCAACTCTCCTGCTCTCTCCCGCCCTTCCTCCTTCTGCCTATATTCCAAGTCTCTTTTTCTTGGTGCCTCTCTGTCCCTCTGTCTCTGTCTGACCAGAATGCACAGTGTCCCACCCCCCCAGGACATTCTCAGGGCTCTCCCTGGGCCCTGACTCACGCATCCCTGCCAGGCTGGTCTGGCTTGGAGGGTGGGGCACAGCCTCCTGCCCATCAGGCCAGAGCAGCCCTGGGGGTAGGGGGCCTGCAAAGGGGGACAGGGACAGCTTCAGCAGGCCTGAGGCTCCATCTACCACCTGCCCCTTCCAGGCATCAACATTTATGAGCCAGCGCCCCCTACTGGCCCCACACAGCAGCCCCTGGAGTCTCTGGGTGAGTGCCTGGTGGCTGGGCCCAGGGCAGGGCAATCTGGAGACCAGGAGCTTTCTAACCCTTGGTCCCCCACCTGGCAGGCAACTTCCGGGGGTGGTACATCAGGACTGAGCAGCTCCAGCACAACTGCAGGTGAGTGGCCAGGACCCCGTGGCCTGGAGTGAGTCCCTCCCCTGGCCTTCCTAGTTAGTCGCCAGAGAGAATGCTCCTGACACACAGCACAGGCTCTGGCCAAGTCTGGTTTCCACATAGCAGGTGCTCAACAAATAGCAGCATCTAGGGTCCCTCTGCTGAGCCTCTTTTCCTGGGAGGGGGGGAGCCCCCAGGCCTCCTCAGTCCAGGAGAAACCCAGCCCTGCTTCGGGGCGGTGAGTGAGATGGTGTAAGTCAGGGGCTCAGAGTCACAGACAGATGCCCGGGGTTGGGATCCTGGCCCTGCAGCTTCTCTGTGCTTGACCTTGGGCAAGTCACTTCTGTTCCTGAGCCCCAGTTTCCCCATCGGCAGCACAGGGTTCAGAATGCATCAGTCTCCGAGAGGATGACGAGAACTAAGACTGTGGGTGCCCAGCGAGAGCTCAGTGCCCATACGGGGATAGCCTGGCCATGAGGGTGCTGTGACCAGGGTCCTGCTCCCTGGGGTCAGGAGGACCTGGGAGATGCTCAAGGAGCAGCAGGTCCCAGAGCCCGCCTGCCCTGTGCCCTCCCCCACAGCTGGACGGTGAAGCATCAGTGTGTGGATCTGCTGGCTGAGGGCCTGTGGGAGGAGCTGCTGGATGACGAGCAGCCAGACATCACAGTCATGGACTGGTAGGTGCCCCTGCCCGCCAGGCTGCACACCGCAGCGCCCCGAAGAGCAAGCTGGCCCCATCCTCCCCTGTGGTCTGAGCTTCCCACCAGACCCCCCTGGCCCTGCAGGACCCCGCCCTGCCCACCTGTGCCGCCCATTCTCTCTGACACAGTCACATGGTCAGGTTTTGAAATCCGCCAGGCCTGAGGCCGCTCCTTCCCCTTGAGATGCTTGTCTTTCTCCACACGAGTCCCTCCTTATCCTTCAGGAGTCAGGTACACGTGGCTCCACCAGGAAGCCTTCCCTGACCAGCCCCCATCCGGGCCCTGACTATTCCTGTTGTCCCTGCCTGGTGACAGGCCTGCCTGCCCCCTGGACTGTGATCCTGTGCGGACAGGGCACGGGCTGTCCTGGTCACTGCTGCGTTGCCAGCACCACCCGCCCAGGTGCACAGAGTGGGCGCCAGACAGTGTGTGCGAAATGGCGAGCGGGCCAGAGGTTGGGGTCGGGGTGTTGGGGCTGCGGTGGCAGCAGAAGGCCTGGGCCCCACCCTCAGGTTTGAGGACAGCCGGCTGGACACGTGCGTCTATGAGCTGCACGTCTGGCTGCTGGCAGCTGACCGCCACACCATCATTGCCCAGCACCATGTGGCCCCCCGGACATCGGGGAGGGGTCCTCCGGGCCACTGGGTCCAGGTGAGACTCTCTGCCCCAGCTGCCACCCCAGAAGTGCCCCAAGACCTCACAGCGGGAAGCAGGAGGACAGGGGGTTCATGGGTCCCTAATAAGGACTTCTTTCTGACCCGGTGCTGCCAGGTATCCCACGTATTCCGCCAGTACGGCCCTGGGGTGCGCTTCGTACACTTCCTGCACAAGACCAAGAACCGCCAGGAGCCGGGTGGGCTGCTGCGGACCAGGGTGACTGACTCTTCCGTGTCGGTGCAGTTCAGGGAGTGACTGGCTGGTGCCGGGTCGTGCTGACCCCTGGTCTCATCTCTCTACGCCTTGTCACCTCCCTGACCCTTGAAACCTCTCTGACTCTTGTCACCTCTCTGACCCTTAGATGTTCCTAACCCAGAGCACCTCACTGACCCTTCAGCATCACCATATTTCTTTAGCACCTCACTGATGCTCAGAGCCACCCCGCCCCTAATGCCTTCAGGACCCCTCAGCCTCTTCCTGGTTGCTCACCGCCTCCTGGACCCCTGGACCCTGCCTGGTCCTTGGCTTCTCACTGGACATCTTCCCACCCTGAGTGTCTGACTCCGGCTTTTCCCCTGTGAGCTCTGGGCTCCGGGAGCGCAGGGGCCACGTCTTCCTGAGTCAGTGCTTGACAGACAGTAGGCGCTCAGTCAATCCTATTCACTAACAGATACGCACAGGTGCCCAAGGATGCTGAGTCTTTCTGCCATCTCTGCTCCTGAAACTTCCCTGAGTTCCCCGCCCACTCGCACACCCTCCAACCCGGGATCCGCCAGCACCTCGCCCTCCTCTACTTTCTGCGCCTCCCTTGACCCTGACTCCTCACGTATCTCCATGTCCCCTCTCTCGGCATCTCCACCTACCTCTTTGCCCATATTTCTTAACTCTCAGAATGTCCTCGAATTCGCCTCCTCCAGACAATCCCAAGGTGTCATCACCCAGAGCTGTCCTGATACCTTTCCTCCCCCGAACCCTAATTTCTCTTCTTTAGCGTCTCCTAAGAGCCCCCAAACCCAGGTGTCCATCCAGGGCTCCCACCCCTGGTGGTGGGAGTGGGAATAGGTTGCAAATGCTCAGTTGCAGAAATAGGCACATTTACTGGAAAGTGTCTTCCATGTGTCGGGGAGGAGAGGGGTAAAACATTGAACAACCTGTAAGTCCTAGGCTCTGGCCAGATCTCACAACAGACCCTGGATCTAGCCTGGGGCCGGTCCTTGAAGGCCTCCTCTGTCTCCCCCAGGCGTCCTGAGTCTGGAGGTCCCCTGCAGGCCAGAACAGCTGGGGGCCCCAGGGAAGGGCTATCTACCAAAAGTCTGGGGAGCATGTTGGTGTTTAAGTGTCAGCCAGCCGTACCAGTGCATGCCACACGTGTCCTGTGTGTGCACACCGAAATCCACGTCAGAATCTATGGCTGTGTCCCCTTCACAGCACTGTCACAGGTAGGGGCTGATCCTGGCATGACCACCCTGCTGTCTCCCCAACCCACCCCTGCCCTGGGTGGACTTGGGTCCCAACACAGGCAGATGGCAGACAGGGACAACTTCAGGAGAGCTATATTGCAGGGAAGGCAGGGAGGGGCGGGCAGAAAGCGCTCTTCCTTTGGGACTTGGGGCCTTCAGCAGGCCCCAGGGACAAGGCCAGGTGAGGGGCTCATCTCTCCGTAGGGCCTGGAGAGGAGGGACCTCTAAGGCATCAGTAGCACCTGCAACAGAATAAAAAATTATCACCAAGAAGTGCCAGGGCCTCAGACAGCCGGGGGGGGGGGGGGCTCTATAGCCTGAGAGGAGAGGGGACTGGGGCTGAGCTCCAGCACCAGGAGCCAGGGGTCCTGGCCTGGGATTTGGGGCAGGGGACTCTTGGAGCTCCTGGGGGTAGTGGGTAAGTAGGGTGTTTTGGAGGCTGCTATGCCTAGATTTAGGGCCTCAGAGTCTGGGAGTCTGGATACGTGAGTTCAGGGTGGGCTCAGGGGCCTCCAAATTGGGTCTGGGGCTCTAGAACCTTAGCAGGGGCCCTGGGACTGGTTTCTGGGGTTGAGTCTGCCCTAGAGAGTCTAGGTGGGCGGGGAACAACATAAGAGCTGGAATGGGTGTCCCTAAGTTTGGGTCTGGGGTCTTGAGGTCTGGGGTCTTGAGGTCTGGGTCAGGTGTAGAGTCTGAGGGGCCCCAGGAAGCTCTGGACCAGGGGCTCAGGGGTGGGACAAGCCCGCAGGCCGGGTGGCGGAGGGCTGGGAGCTGGGTTGGGAGCACAGGACACGGATGGCACAGGGGCGGGCGGAGGCACCTGCAGTAGATGGAGGAGATGGCATTGGACCAGTGGCCCAGGACGCCCCTGCGGTACTCTTCAAGGCGCGGGTAGACTCCAGCTGAGAACTTGTGCGTCTTCCCAGCCTTGCCGCGGCGGGACCACACGGTGAGCTCGCAGCGCGGGGCCACCACCAGGGAGGAGATGACGTTGGTCCAGCTAGAGGGCAGGTAGGGCAGGTCGGTGTCCGGCTTTATGGCCAGCTCGGCGCCTCCGCAGCAGTTCTCGTAGTACGGGTCGCTCTTGTCATACACCTTGGCGCACGTGCGCGTCCCATCAGGGTGTTTGAGCTCGGAGGCCGCCGGGCAGGCGCCTCGGACAGGGGGGACGGCCACCAGGGCCAGGGCCAGCAGCAGCGGGCACAGCGGGGACATGGCGACACTGCGGGGCCGCGCCCCTGTGGGCTTTTATGCTCCTGACCCGTGGGAAGGGAGAAGCTGCGAGATTAGGGCTCCGGGAGGAACGGGGAGGGCACCCACTCCCCCAGAGCAGGGAGACCTTCCTAGCCCGGGTGCAAACACACAGCCCAGACACACAAGGTGGACCTATTGGTATGAAGCACAGCAGCATAAGAGTTTATGTGGCAAAACTCTATGAAGGAAGTCAGCCAACACGGTGAGGACCGGTCAGTTGCAACACAGGGGGCAACAGGGTTAAGAGGTCCAGGTAGAAAGCTCTTAGCACCTGACCAGGAAGGAGACACCCAGCCCCCACCCCACCCCCTTCAAGGTAAGGACAGGCTGAAGGAGGGGAGAGGAGGGAGCTGGGCCCTCAGGCTGGACAGTTCCCAAGACCTTGGGAAAGTAGAAGCTGGAGATAAGGAGAGAGAGGCCCTGGAGGGGAAGGGGGCTGGAGGAGGGACAGAGCGAGCTCCCTCCCCTCAGGAGTGGGAGATCTTCCTGACCAAGTTCTCAAACTGCAATCTGTGCAATATGAGAGAGGCCTACTTGTGCAACATTGGGAAACCATTGCAAGGCCCCTGGCCCTGAGGCTCAGCGGGTTGGGCGTTGTCCCGAGCAAGGAAAGGTTTGGAGTTCACTCAGAGCACAATCAGGGCCGAGGGGTGGAGGGCTCCACCCTCCGTAGGGGACTTGCAGGGAGCAGCCAATGGATGCTTGCTCTCACATCAATGATCCTCTCTCCCTCTCTTTTCCTCTCTTTCTCAAAAACAACTAATAAATATATACATAAATAAACATTGCAAGGTGATGTGCAAAGTCTTGGGGGAAAACAGCTATAAAGGTAAAGAGTGCTTACAAATTGACAAGATATCAAGCAAGGCCCTTAACCCCAAGAAGAATAAACCTCGGAGGGGCTGTGGAGGAAGAGGAGGCTGCCACCTGCCACCACCACTCCCTGGGAACCAGAAGATTTTCACAAGTTTGTAAATCTTGATCTATAAAGTAAATAGGATCTATTGAAATGTATATCATTTTCAACCTTTTGTGTAACAAAAAAAAACAAATAAAAACCGAAACAAAACTAACCTGGTAGAAAAGAGACAATTCATGTAACGTACAATGAGTGCTTAGGAATCAGCACATTTCACTAAAAATATTTAATTGACCTTTTGGACAGAAAATTGTTATTTATAAATGTAATATAAATACTTAATATGTGATATTGAATAGAGAACCGCATACATATAAATATATAAAGCGCGAAGTACAGCGCCAGGCACCTATTAGGTGCTCAATAAATAGGAGCTATTATCATTCTTCTTATGATTCTGAGACCCCGAACCTTGGCCTGGCCCTGCCCCAGACCAGACCTGGATCCTTCTTTCTCTTTTCCTTCCATGAGCCCATGAAATCTAATCTCCAGCTGCTAACTTCCCAGGGGGCTCCCTTGACCTTAAGGACACAGCACCCCGCCCCCCAGCTCTGCAGGGGCGCAGCCTCAGGGATGGAGACATGGTAAGTGTGGCTTGCGTGGATGCAGCCACCTAGAGCTCCACCTGCCCAGCAGGGCCATGAGCTTCAGACAGATGGTGACATGGGCCAGCAAGGTGACCCAGATAGGGAGGTGGGCCCAGGGACAGGAACACAGACCCATTGGCTCGCAGCACACAGGCAGCATCAAGGAGAACCCAGAGAGATCACAGCATCCCTAATCCAGGTACACACACACACACAGGCGGGGGGGGGGGGGCACTCCTTCACACAGTTAGCCACTGATGGTAACTGAATCTCATTGGTGATTATTTGCATTGAATGTAGACACACACTTGGAGATAAGGAGAGAGAGTCTGAACACAGCCCCAGAAAAACACAGTCCCAGACAATGACCCCCCGAAACACACCCCCACCATCACCAGCACCCCTCCAGCCCTCAACTACTTCCCCCACACCCCAAGAAAGCTCAAAGTCCAAAACACACTGACATGCCCAGGTGCGAACACACACATCCAGAAACAGTTTCCTCACTGTTATTAACACGCACGGGACACATAGTAGAAAAATAAATAACTCCTAATCACACATTTTTTTCTTCAAATGGAAGAAAGCTTGCCCTTGAGGAACCCATGAGCCCTTGAGAAAGTCATATGGTAAATCAATAATTCGAACTCAATATAAACAGAGTTTTAACAGAGGAACTGCAAAGCACTCTGGGAACGCAGTGGGAAGAATAGCAGGGTTTGGAGTTTTTTTAAATCCACTAATATATTTTGATTCATATAATAAGAAAAAAAAATCCTCTTTTCAAATCTCACAACCTTGATCTGACAATTTTCACCAGACCATAAAAAAGGAGGTTGTTGTACATGTGAAATTGTCACTAGAAACAAGAAAGGGTTACTTTCAAGCCAGGTAGTGCCTGAACATGAACAACATTACAGGAATACACAATTTAAATGAAAATGCTGTCTGTTGCATAAATACAGGAAAATATTCAGATTAGTACTTAAGTCGGTGCTGGTTCATCAGAACTCATTAATTATGCTTCTGTAATGCTTCTGCAATGATGTCACTGAACGGGAGTGTTTCTTTTTCTTTTTCTCTTTTATCCTCACCCGAGGACATT